CGTGACCTCTATCCTGAGGGGAGCACATTTTTTCTGTAAAGGGCCAGATGATGACTATTTTCTATTTTTCAGGCCAGTCTCTGTCACCACTAACCAACTCTGCCTTCATCATGTGAAAGCAGCCACAGACAACACATAATGAGTGAGGCTGTGTCCAGTAACACTTTACTTATGGACACCAACATTTGAATTTCAGATATTTTTCACATGTCCTAAAATTCTTTTAATTTTTGCCAACCATTTAAAAATTGGAAAACCAGGGGCACCTGAGTGGCTCAGTCAGTTAAACTGCCTTCGGCTCAGGTCATGATCCCAGGGTCCTGGGATCGAGCCCCGCATCGGGCTCCCTGCTCAGCGGGAAGCCTGCCTCTCCCTCCCCCACTCCCCCTGCTTGTGTTCCCTCTCTCGCTGTGTCTCTCTCTGTCAAATAAATAAACAAAATCTTAAAAATTGGAAAACCATTGTTGGCTCACAAGCTGAATAAAAAGAAGTGTTGGGCCACATTTGGGCCAGAGGCCTTTGTGTGCTGACCCCCACTCGGTCACATTACTGGGTTTTCCTCTCTTCGTGATTCTCTCAGGTCTTACGTCTCTCTCTCCTCCTGAATATAAGAGGCATATGGCAGGGGCTCATATGCCTTATTCTCTGCTATGGTTCAGCCTAACACCCTGGTACACAGTAGGTACCTAATGTTTTCAAGGATGGATGTATGGATGAGTGAACGGACAGAGAGGAGGGAAAGGAAAAACAATACTTTTTAAAAGTCTTTTCTAACACTCTATTAAAATTACAAAAATTAAGAGAATAAAAACACAACAGACTATTCTAAGGTATTCTAAGGTATTCTAAGAACTTTACCCCTAAACACATTTCTGTGAAAACGGAAGACTAGAAATCTAACCCACTGCCAGGGAGAAAGTAGAATATTTAGCAGGCTATACTCCCACCTAGTGGAGAGAATGAGTAACATCACAATGTATACTTTTTTAATGAATTTATTTATCTCAGAACAGCTAACAAGATTTCCTTTCTATTTCATCACTGCAGATTATTCCCATGCTTATCGGCTCTACAAGCTAATGTGACCATCACCTGACACCACATAATAAAGCATGAAACAGTCATAATTTCCCAACAATTTTTTACCTGAGAAAAAGTCCACAGTAACAGTAAAACGGATACGTTCAGCAAAGAAATTTTTCAAAATATAATCTAACTTATTTTATTGCCTTACATCAAAAACACACTAAGAAGCAGAAAAATCAATTCATCTTCCTATGAAAATGATGGATACTACAAATATTTTGCTAATAGAACAAAAGATGTAGTTTAAAAAACAGCTCTTCGATAGGCTTCAGAAAAAGAAGTCGACACAGTCAAATTGCAAAAAAAGTCAGGCTTTCTATACCTTCAAAGTTACATATTAATTTAATCCAAAATTGATAGAAAATGTTCACATAGACTCAGCCTTACCTGGCCATTCCAAAATCTGATACTTTCACAACTCCCGCTTCATTTACTAGACAATTTCTGGCAGCCTGGAAAACAACATTTCAATGGTCTATTAGTTACAAAGTTCTACAAAGTAGAAAAATATAAATTCTGTTTATATTAAATTTAATATAGCCCAGTCAACATTTACAGAAGGCAGAAATGTCTCTTTATAAATTGGATTTATCCCTGTGGAAATGTCTCCAACAAATATTTGAAAAAATGGGTAGAAAGGTCAGGAAGTCATGTGCAATAAGACATGATTATATGACTTTGCCAATTGTCATACCTAAATGAAGACTAACAAGGTCAACCTACTTTTCCCCCCTCCCATTTCTATTCTTATTAAACTGTCAGATTTTCTTATTGATAATGACAACATCTCTTTAAGTCCTTAATCCAGGTTCTCATTAGGTGAGTTTAATAACACACAATAATCAAAGTGATAGGTAACTGATCTTTTACCCAACAGCTTTGCTCAGTGATTGGTCATCCTGATCTCAGTAAAAACAGCAACAACAACAACAACAAAAAACAGCCAGGTGTAACATAGTTTACCTTGTCATTTACAATGTTTCCAGTATATTGTGATATGACATATGAAATTGGTCAAACATAATTCTGGATTATTTAAATTATATTTTCTTGCCCATTCTTTAAGGGTAAAAGATTCAAGAAAACAGTTTGGTAAAAAGACATAGTATTTCGCAGAAGGAAAACATGATAACAATATTTTTAATGCCATATCCTATGGACTAAGCTGCATTTTTGTTCCCGACACTTCTAGCATTTTATTCTCTGTATGTGGCAATTCCACAGCAGGAGATTATTTCCGCTGAATGCATTTTAAGAGTCTCTTCTAAAGTTCCCCAGATTTGCCCCCATCTTCCTATGGGGATACCTTATCATTACTTCACTTCATGGTCAACAGCATTCTTTGCCCAAAAGACAGGAGCATCAGAATCTTCCCTTCAGGGGTGACACAAACCTACCATGGTGATGTCAATATCATAAGCACAAAATTATCAAAATTGCTTTCATCAAGATATGGTCTTTGTGGACAGATGTAGTCTGCCATACTCATGTAGGCATCCAATTTTCATCAGTTTTGAAAGTATAAAAAAAGAGGAAGGTACTTAGTTCACAACTTTCAATATGACAGAGAGATGTTCTTTATCATCACTGAGCATAATAACAATAATGAATGTTATCTATATCACATCTATCTTACAGAGTCCTTTGCCCCAATCACATAATGCGATCTTTAAAACAGTCTTGTAAAGGAAAAGCCCAAGACCAGATGGCTTCACTAGTGAATTTTGGGATATGACACCAAAAGCACAAGCAACAAAAGCAAAAATAAATAACTGATCTACATCAAACTAAAAACCTTTGCATAGCAAAGGAAACAGTCAACAAAATAAAAAGGGAAACTACAGAATGGGAAAAACAATTTGTAAAACCATATATCTGATAAAGAGTTAAAATATAAAGTACATAAGGAACTCATACAACTCAATACCAAAGAAGCAAATAATCCAATTTTTAAAAGGAGCAAAGAACCTGAATATACAATTAAAAAAAAAAAACCCACATACAAATGGCCAACAGGTACATGAAAAGGTGCTCAACATCATTAATCATCAGGTAAATGCAAATCAAAACCACAATGAGATGTCACCTCACACCTGTCAGGATGGCTATTACCAAAAACACAAGAGATGGGCGCCTGGGTGGCTCAGTCACTAAGCGTCTGCCTTTGGCTCAGGTCATGGTCCCAGGGTCCTGGGATCGAGTCCCACATTGGGCTCCCTGCTCGGCGGGAAGCCTGCTTCTCCCTCTCCCCACTCCCCCTGCTTGTGTTCCTCTCTCGCTGTGTCTCTCTGTTGAATAAATAAAAAAACAAAAACAAAAAACACAAGAGATGACAATAGTTGTCAAGGAAGAAAAAGTGGAGAAAGGGGAACCCTTGTATACTATTTTTGGGAATGTAACTTGGTACAGCCATTACAGAAAACAGCATGGGGTTTACTCAAAAAATTAAAAAATAGAACTACCATATGATCCAGCAATTCCACGTCTAAATACATACAAAAGAAAATGAAATCAGCACCTCAAAGAGATGTCTGAACTCCCATATTCATAGGAGTATTACATAATAGCCAAGCTATGAAATAATCTAACTGTCCATCAATGGATGAGTGAATAAAGATGATGTGGTATATCTATACGGTGGAATATTATTCAGCCATAAAAAAAAAAATCTTGTTGGGTGCCTGGGTGGCTCAGTCGTTAAGCGGCTGCCTTCAGCTCAGGTCATGATCCCAGAGTCCTGGGATCGAGTCCCACATCGGGCTCCCTGCTCAGTGGGAGGCCTGCTTCTCCCTCTCCCACTTCCCCTGCTTGTGTTTCTGCTCTCGCTGTCTCTGTCTCTGTCAAATAAATAAATTAAATCTTTAAAAAAAAAAAAATCTTGTCATTGTGGCAACACAGATGAACCTGGAGGGCATTATGCTAAAGAAAGACAAATACCCTATGATATCATTTATATATGGACTCTTAAAAAAAAGAATGTAGAACTCAGTATGTTCTGAGGAGCTAATGGATAGCATAACTATAATAATACTTTATTGTTTACTTGCAATTTACTAAGAAAGTACATCTTAAGCATTCTCACCACACGTGAGGTATGGATATAATTAACTTGACTTTGATAATCATTTCATAATGTATGCATATATCAAGTCATTATGTTGTTTACTTTAAGTATATGCAATTTTGTCAATTATACCTCAATAAAGCTGGGGGGAAAACAGTCTTGTGAGCAAACCAATATTATAACCCACCTACAATTTACAGATGCAGAAAAAGAATCTAAGAGAGATTGGATAACTACCCTAAAACACATCTAGAAGTCAAGTCTTCCACTCACAAATATTCAACTCTTTATTATGCCCTAAGTCTAGAGATCGCATAATACAGTAGCTACAGTGTAGACTCTGGAGCTGAACTCTCTGGGTTCAAATTCTGACTCCACACTATACTTGACTATTGGTAAGTTATTTTATCCTATTTACACCTCAGTTTCCTCATCTGTAAAGTGAGAATAATAATCATAGGTACTTCTCATGATTACATGAGTTGATATATGTTAATACCTATAAAAGCAATGACTGTTTAAGGTGATTGTTAATTTTTTTTAAATGTTTTGCTGCTATTGCAGAAGAAATGCATCCATGCTTTATGACAAGAAAGTTAAAACTAAAACATGGAAAAATCCCAGGTAGAGAATCACGTTCTTTTTGGTGAAAGAATCACCTTCAAGGTTTAACAGGAACTGACAGTTCTGTCATCGTGCTGAAAATAGACACATTTGAGGAAAACAGGCAGAGAAGAAAAAGAGAAAAGAAAGAATAGAGGAGATAGGGAGACAGAGTCAGGGGAGGGGAAAAATTACGAAGTGTCTTCATCACAATACTTTAGAACCAATAATAGATTCCTTTTTCTAGTATTTTCAGGAGTTAATGTGGGCCTCCATGTTTTCCCAGTGACTTCAGAAATCAGGAAAATAAACCAAGGATTTCTGTTATGGCTTCTGCTTACATTGTGTGAGGTGGAAAAGAGTTTAGGATTTAGTAAAAGGAGGAGTCAACCCTTAACTTCCCCATTTGTCACCTTAGGTAAGTCATTTCACTTCTCTCAAGCTAATTTTCTTATCAAACAACAATGATCAGAAAGACTGTTGTGACTAGCTATCACATGAGATTCTTATGGAGATCAAATAGTTAATATATGGTAAGTTGCTTAGAAACAATGACCTATGTAGTTACATATTATTTATGCAATTGCTTATGTAATTATGTATTATATGTGTTAGATTTGATCAAGATTTTTCTGTTAAAATTATGAGGCAAGTTAAATTTACCAGGTTTAAAGATAACGGTGAAACATCGTTGAGAACAGAAATTGGATATTAATACATCATTGCTCATTTGCTGCCCCGGTGTTACAAAGGAATTCGGCCACTGAATGGGAATACGGGTGGTTAGGATTACCAGATCTCTGTGGATGAAGCTGTTTCTTTCCAGGTACTCCATCCCTTCACACACATCTTGACACATGCTCAGCAGCACATCTCTACTAAAATGACCTTGTCTCTGTCGGAGGAAATTCAGAAGACAGCCCCTTTCCATGAACTCGGTAACAATGTAAATCGGCTTCTGCTGGGTGCATACACCATAAAGCTGCACTAGCTTCGGGTGTGTCAGCTTCCTGGGAGGGAAGTCATGCATACACACAGTTACTATAGGAAAAGAAACGTGCAGGGCTATTAGCTGATGAGAGGCTACTTTTTAATGCAAAAAGAGGAACCAGAAAGAACCGGTACTTACATCATCACTTTAGCTTCTTCTATAAAGTCCTCCTCACACATGGCACCTTCCCTAATAGCTTTGATTGCCACTTTGTACTGAGCTCTCCACTTGCCTAGCCTCACCACTCCGAACAGTCCGCTGCCCAGTTCCCTCATAAAGGTCAGCTCTGAAGGATTGATCTCCCATTTTTCTGTGAGACAGAGGGGGAAAGTGATAACATTTAATAAGGAGAACACAGCATGAATCAGTGGGAAACAGAGAAACGACAACCAGTCAATGTCAAAGTTACAGGATAATACAATTATCATTAAAACATAGAACAGACTTGCAACCTATCTAAACTGCAAAAGGTGGCTTTCCAGCCTCTGGGGAGGATGTACTCCCTTCTAAGCCATCATAATATAACCAAAGTGAACAACAGAAGGCAAGAAGATGCTGAATAAGAGACTAATAATAATAGAGCTTAAAAGTACTTAGAAAAAAACTAGATCAAATACTTACTCCTTTACCATTCTTCCCCCTCGGCTTGTTGCACCCCACCCCCAATTATATCAGGTTGTAAAGAATTTAATCCTCTGTTTAAAAGGCTTTTGCTAGAAGGAACAAAGACAATCAAGTTGGATGCCTTCTTTATTACCTCCATCCTCACTTTCCTGTGATTAACCAATCAAGCTGGTGAGAACCAGAAAAGGATTTGATTTATTTTAGAAATAACATGGTAATGCTTATTTTTCACCGAGAAAGTTTTCTGCTGAATTATGAATAAGGATGAAAACAGAAAATCTAGGGTTACCATAGCTACAAGCATAATCATCTAAAACCCCATACTATAAAACTGTAAAAACAATTCTACTATGTGGAATTCTAAACATCTGAATTGGTCTTGTGATAATGGATTTTTTTTCCTAAGGAAAATTAGCCAGTGGAACTACAAAATGAGTTACCATAGCTGAATCCTGCAGTGGTTGGTGCATTCTTCTCCTTCGTACTAACTGGGTACCGCAGTCTTGTGACAAGTCCTGGAAGTCAGAGAAAGCACTGAAATTGAATTCATCCTTTTTTTTTTTTTTAAGATTTTATTTATTTGACAGAGAGAGAGAGACAGTGAGAGAGGGAACACAAGCAGTGGGAGTGGGAGGGGGAGAAGCAGGCTTCCCGCAGAGCAGGGAGCCTGATGCGGGGCTCGATCCCAGGACCCTGGGATCATGACCTGAGCCGAAGGCAGACGCTTAACGACTGAGCCACCCATTCTGCATGGGAAAGCACTAAACTTAGACACTCATGTATAAAGGCCGTTCATTTATCCACTTAGTGCTCATCCTCTGTGTACATACAGCACTCTGCTATAGCTAACAAAAAATAAAAAGAAAGGAAGGCAGGCAGGAAGAAGATGATCCTGTTCTTTGAATTGACAATTTTTATGGAACATAAAAAACTTTTTTACATATATATGTTTTTATTCACTCAACAAACATTTCCTTTTCAATACAACAGTGTTTACCAAGCACTGAGCTAGCATATTCTTAAACATTTTTTAAAATGTTAAAAAAGGTGGGGCGCCTGGGTGGCTCAGTTGGTTCAGCGTCTGCCTTTGGCTGAGGTCATGATCCCAGGGTCCTAGGATCGAGCTCCAAATCGGGCTCCCTGCTCAGCAGAGAGTCTGCTTCTCTCTCTCTCTCCCTCTGCCTCTCCCCACTGCTGGTTCTCTCTCTCTCAAATAAATAATAATAAATAATAAATAAATAAAATCTTTAAAAAAATAAGTAAAATGTTAAAAGGTTTCTAACAGCTATTATCAATTATTATTTCATGGTCTTTTCCAATATGATCTGAACTATGAAAGGGAATTAAGGGAATTACTAGTCTATTAAAAATTAAAGTGATTCACCTTGAATAACTCAATACTAGTAAGCTTAGTATAAATATGGGGCTTTAAAATATCAACAGCTGGGACCCAAATAGCTAAAGCAACGCTGAAAAAGCAAAGCAAAGCTGGAGACATAATGATTCCAGACTTCAAGCTATAATACAAAGCTGTAGTCATCAAGACAGTATGGAACTGGCACAAAAACAGACACATAGATCAATGGAACAGAATAGAAAACCCAAAAATGGACCCATAAGGTTAACTTATCTTCGACAAAGCAGGAAAAAATATTCAATGGAAAAAAGACAGTCTCTTCAACAAGCGGTGTTCAGAAAACTGGACAGCAACAGAGGAATGAAACTGGACCACTTTCTCATACCATACACAAAATAAATTCAAAATGGATGAAAGACCTAAACGTGAGATAGGAAACCATCAAAATCCCAGAGAAGAACACAGGCAGTAACCTCTTTGACCTCAGCCATAGCAACTTCTTACTAGACATGTCTCTGGAGGCAAGGGAAACAAAAGCAAAAACGAACTATTGGGACTTTATCAAGATAAAAATCTTTTTTTTTAAAAAAGATTTTTATTTATTTATTTGACATACAGAGAGAGAGCGAGCACAAGCAGGGGGAGCCGCAGGCAGATGGAGAGGGAGAAGCAGGCTCTCCGCTGAGCAGGGAGCCCGATGCGGGACTTGATCCCAGGACCCTGGGATCATGACCTGGGCTGAAGACAGACGCTTAACTGACTGAGCCACCCAAGCACCCAAGATAAAAACCTTCTGCACAGCGAAGGAAACAATCAATAAAACTAAAAGGTAACCTATGGAATGGAAGAAGGTATTTGCAAATGTCTTATGAGATAAAGGGCTAGTATCCAAAATTTACAAAGAACTTACCAAATTCAAAACCCAAAAAACAAATTATTCCAGTTAATTTAATGTTAATCCAGTTAAGAAATGGCAGAAGACATAAGTAGATATTTTTCCAAAGAAGACATCCAGATGGCTAACAGACACATGAAAAAATCTTCAACATCACTCGGCATCAGGGAAATACAAACCAAAACCACAATGAGATACCACCTCACACCTGTAAGAATGGCTAAAATTAACAACACAGGAAACAACAGGTGTTGGTGAGGATGTGGAGAAAGGAGAAACCTCTTACACTGTTGGTGGGAATGCAAGCTGGTATAGCCACTCTGGAAAACAGTATGAGGGTTCCTCAAAGAGTTAAAAATAGAACTACCCTATAATCTAGCCATTGCACTACTAGGTATTTACCCAAAGGATACAAAAATACTGATTCAAAGGGATATATGCACCCCAATGTTTATAGTAGCATTATCAACAATATCCAAACTTGGGCACCTGGGTGGCTCAGTTGGTTAAGCATTTGCCTTCAGCTCAGGTCATGATCCCAGGGTTCTGGGATGGAGTCCCACATGGGGCTCCCTGCTCAGTGGGGAGCCTGCTTCTCCCTCTCCTCCCTGCTCATGCTCTCTCTCACTATCTCTGTCTGTCTCTCTCTCAAATAAATAATAAATAAAATCTTTAAAAAAAAAAAATAGCCAAACTATGGAAAGATCCCAAGTGTCCATCGACTGATGAATGGATAAAGAAGAGGTACACACACACACACATACATACACAATAGAATACTACCCAGCCATCAAAAAGAATGAAATCTTGCCATTTGCAACGATGTGGATGGAGCTAGAGGGTATTATGCTAAGTGAAATAAGTCAGTCAGAGAAAGACAAATACTGTATGATTTCACTCATCTGTGGAATTTAAGAAACAAAACAGATGAACATATGGGAGGGAGGAAAAAAAGAGAGAGGGAAACAAACCATAAGAGACTCTTAACGGGGACGCCTGGGTGCCTCAGTTGGTTGAGTGCCTGCCTTCAGCTTGGGTCATGATCCTGGAGTCCCGGGATCCAGCCCTGCATCGGGCCCCCTGCTCAGGGGGAGTCTGCTTCTCCCTCTCTCTTTGCTCCTCCCCTGCTCATGCTCTCTCTCTCTCGCTCACTCACTCTCTCTTAGAAAAATAAGTAACACTTTTTTAAAAAGAGAGAGAGAGGCTCTTAACGATAGAGAACAAACTGAGGGTAGATGGAAGGAGGTGGGGGATGGGCTACATGGGTGATGGGTATTAAGAAGGGCACTTATGATGAACACTGGGTGTTGTATGTAAGTGATGAACCACTTAATTCTACTCCTGAAACCAATATTATGCTGTATGTTAACTAACTAGAATTAAATAAAAATTTGGGGGAAAAATGAAATAAAATACCAACAACTGGGAATACCAACCACTGGAAATCAGTGAGGTAGGTTAGACACTTCAACGTAAGTTGCTTACAGCACTAGATTTGAAGAAAGGCAGATATCTCTCCTATGGGCATACATAGCACTCTGTGTTTCTTCGATTATAGCATATCTCACAGTAACTTTAAATTGTTCTATACTTCTCTGTCTCCCCCACCAGACGGTAAAAGATCTGAGAGAGACAGGATCAATGACTAGCTAGTCCACCATAGCCTCCCTAGAGCCAGGCACAGTTCCTGGCATGTAACAGGTACTCAAGTCATGTTTGCTAGATGAGTGAATTTAGATAATGGTGAAGAATAAAATTTATACAAGAACACACACACACACATACACACAAAAGAAAGAAAGAAGGGAATGTGAACACTACAAAAGAAAATAACAGAATAAGAGATAAGAAAAAGTTCTTTGGGGGATAAATTGATATGAAAGTAACTCTTCACATGTTAAACACAGAGTTAACATATAACCCAGCAAATTAACTCCTAGGTAAGTCACCAAGAGAAATGAAAGATATTTCCATGCAAAAACTTGTACACAAATGTTCACAGCAGCATTACTCATAACAGCCAAAATGTGGAAACAACCCAGATGTCTACCAACTGATGAATGATGACAAAATGGATTAAAAAAAATTAAGAGTGGATTATTTGTCAATAAAAAGGAATGGAGCGCTTATACAGGCTACAATATGGACAAATGTCAGAAACATTATGTTAAGTCACTCAAGCCAGTTACAACAGACTACATATTATATGATTCCATTTATATGAAATGTCCAGAACAGGCAAATCTATAGAGACAGCAAGTAGATTACTGGTTGCCAGGGGCTGGACTGATGAAAGGGGGCTGAGGGGTGATAGGTGATGGGTACAAGGTTTCTTTTGGGGATGATGAAAATGTTCTTAGATTATAGGATACTTGGTACCACTCTAAATATACTAATGACCCATGAACTGTATACTTTAAATGGGTGATTCTTATGATATTTAAATTATACCCCTATAACTGTTCCTATCATTATCTGAGAACATGGGCATAAATATGGTTTCTGGTTTTGGTGTTTGGTTTGTTCCCACTCTGGTAGTAAGTATAGCAGAGATTCAGGAAGATGGAAAACTTGTCCAGGACATGATTACTCTAGTCTCTGGAATCCAACAGCAGAGCCCTAAGCCCTGGGCTTGTGTGCTAGCTTCTGCGACATCTCTGACATAGACGTATCTTGGGTTTTAGTTTCATACAGTTAAAGAAAGGAAACTATTCAACGACACTTTTCAAGATGGTAAGGCAGATTTTATTTAGGACCACTGTGATTTGGTATAGGGACCACAGCAATGGGATTTTAGAGTTCGAGAGAGATTGGGTTCAACTCCAAATATAGCACGGACAAATGGGAATTTATAGACAAAGAGCAGAGTTGGAGTCCGTGGATGGAAAATTGCTAAGAGAAATGCTGGGGACTGGGTGGTTCTGGGATACACCTATCTAAGAGGATCTTGCTGAAGACAAGCCAGGGTAACCAGACATCACCTGGTAGAAAATAAGAAATCTGAGATAGATACTGTGTGTGAGCAGATATCAGATGTTAAGGTGGGACTTCTGGTTAAACTGACTTGGCAGGGTTCTTGCTAAAAACTGGATTTTACAAGAAAGTGCACAAATGGGTCTAGGAGATGGTTCGGGAGTCTGACTAAAGCTTGGTCAAGCAAAGAATCTTTGTCAGTACCACAGGTATAAATCACAGAAATGTGAACATTTATCATATGCAACAAGAATAACTCATGTCCTAAGGGCAAGACAGCTTTTTATGAGACTTAATATTATTTCTATTTTTTCTTTGTATATATCACTTCCTTAATATGCAATAATTTTAAATTAATCATATTCTATAATTAACTATAAATTGAAACTGCCCAAGGAAAAATCCATCACAATGTCTGATCATTTTAATCACGACTCTATATTTGAAAAATGTTTTAATAGATCACTTACCTGCTGCATTGTGCTTATGATATTCAATAATCTCAGGAATTGAACCAAATGCATGTTTTTCTGCCAGATAGTACTTCTTTGGGGATGTTGTTGTTTCCTTTATATGATAATGCCTGAAACCTGACGAGCCCTCACTGAAACGAAAATCCAAATGTGTTAGCACCAAGTTGGAATAATGTAACTTCATTCTTAAGATATTTTCCACCAGGCAACCACAGGTCCCTACATATAGCCCCTTCTATTCTCTGCACAACTTTTATTTTTTCCCCATGTTCTTCTTAGCTTCGCCTTTCACATTAATAGGTGGAAGTTTTTAAAGTGGTCACTGATAACATACTTGGCCCTTGCATGAGATTATGAAAGAGAAGATTTACCAATTCCATTTCCCAACAGTTAAAAGTCTTAAAATAGTTATTAGCTGACTACTGTTCTTTGTTCCTGCTATTGATGTAAACTTGCAAACATCTAGAAGACTTATGCTTCTAAAAACGAATAAGCTGACTTATAAAAAATGTACAAATTCTATTTTAGATATCTTCTTAGAACACAGATCTCCTCAAGTCATCTCTTGCTAAAGATCCTTTCAAGAGAACTCCCTCTGCTCTTAAAGCTCCTTGACATTGATGTGAGCTGACCTCTACTTTTATCTCGTAGGGTTCGCTTTCCTCCCTCACCCCGCCCCTCCCGTTCCAGCTATAATACGCTTTTGTCAGTTCCTGGAACTCACAATATCCTCACTCAATTCTGGGTCTAGGCAGTTTCCTAAATCAGAAACACTCTTTCCCCTCCCTCCAACTTCCGCCCTCATCACCCATCAGGTCTGGCTAGATGTCCCCAGACTACATTTGTGACGAACTGGGATATCTCTGGGCTGTGTACCACCCCCCACACATACACACATTCTCTCCAAGCATAGGACTTACTCATGTACTACCATAACTGCCTCTTTGCTTGTCTGAATCCCCCACTAAGCTATCAGAAGGCAGAGTCAGTGCCTACTTTGTTCACTGTGATATCCTTAGTGCTTAGCGCAATGCACAATAATTATTTCTTGAATGTTGCTAAAATTTCTATAGACATTCTCAACAGATATATATACATATATATATATATATACACATGCATACACATATATGTATATGTATATATATGTGTGTGTGTGTATATATATATGTATATATATGGAAAACCATAAGAAAAATTACCAAGTATAGGAAATATGGATATAAGGAAGTATGAATATAAAAAACAGGACAGACTTCAGAAATCAAATTTAGATTTTCTTATTTAATGCTAAAATGCAGCATATTTTTTGAGATTTAGGAATCCATACAAACTATATAAAAACTCTTAGAGAGGGAGAGATGATTGAGTACTTACCCTCCAAACTTTGTATAAAGGGAGACTGTGTACATGCCTGGTTGACTGGAATCCCTTACCATGAAACCACCTTCTTTATCCTAAAATCCAAGTTAAGAAAAATTTTTCAATCCAATAACAAGTATCAATGCCATAGGGAAGATTCAGGAAACCAATCTTACAATTTCATGATTATTCCTTGCCTAGAAAATCTGCTTTGGAGAAGCACAACTTACCAACAGCACGCAACTGTATGACTTTCCCCTTCACTTTACTGTGCTATGAGATTAGTTCAAGAAAGTATTCTCACAGTTCCCCACAATCACAAATCCTCACACACACCAGCATGAGACATTTCAGCAAGATAGCTCTCAGGGCCCTTCCAGAAACAACTGACAAGATGTTGCAATTCCTTTAAGTTCTGGACATGTGGGGAAACAGTTACTGAAAAATGTATTTCTTTTTTTTTTTTTTTTTTGAAAAATGTATTTCTTAATAACTGGGTTTCATTTCATACATTTTTCATATTTGCTATAAGCTTTGAATCCTGACTCAGTATCATCTTCTATCCACATAGGATTTTTCCTGTAAATATCTCAGTGCTCTTTATAAGAACATTTTTTAAAAATCCTAATTCCCCTGGAAATCAATGTTAAATATCATTGTTCACAAAGGAGAGATGGAAGCACAAGTAAACCAAGCAGAGAAAACCAAAAGATGAAACAACACAGAATGACTAAAAGGTAAGTCCTTATCAGGTTTTAAGCCAAACAGCAAGAAACAGAAGCTAGCAACCTCCAATACCTCTCCACCAATACCACCACCATCAGTCTCCAGCTCTGAAATTGCTTTAAAATGAGAGTGTGTTTAGTAGTTGAAAACCAAAATAAATTTTATTATTAAGACAATGAATTAAATAAAGCCCCACAAATAAATTGGGTAAAAACAATTAGGTACAATCAATGATCATAATAGTTCACCGATCAGTAAAAAGTATAAGAGCTACCATATATTTATTGAGAGCTTACTCTGTTTTAGTAGGTTCTAATATGTGGATTTACTTAATCCTCAAAACAGTCCTATGAGACAGGTACTACTGTTAACCCCACTTTATTTCACAGGTAGGGAAATGGGGCACAAAGAGGTTGGGTAACTTGCCCCAGATCACACAGCTAGTGAGTAGCAGAGCCAAAATTTGGACCCTAGGTTTTCTAGCTACCCACTCACCTACAGCTGCCTCTCATGGTGGGGTCACCAGTGAGGCATATAAGGATTATGTCGGGGAGTAGGTGTGGTAACATATCATTTGAATCAAGAAGTCACCTTCTTTTGCTCTCAACATAAACTACAGAAATAAATACTACCACCTTGACTGGTGGTGATAAGCAGGAGATAAAACGAGAAAACATGGGTTTAAAAAAAATTGAGAACTATTACTAAATAGAATAACTAGATCACAAATGCAGAGAATTATACAGATCATCATCTAACCCAACCTCTTCATCTTACAGGTGGGCAAAACAGATGAGAAAAGTCACAACTAGATTCAGGTCTCCTTACTCAGTCCATTGCAGCTTCCTCTATACTATATCTTATCCTTTCATTTTATTTCTTTTTAAAGTGTAAGAATTTTAGTACATTTATTATGTATTATTATTTGGCACATTTATCTCTAAAGGCAACTAAATAGTTATTAAACCTTCATTTGTAAAAGATATCATGTAATATTGATGTAAATTATTTTTAAAAAGCAACTTCAAAAACTAATGATGTATGGTATGTTGGCTAATTGAATTTAAAATAAAAAAAGTAACTTCAAACAAAAAGGAAAAACACATTTAAGGACTAAAATCAAGGTAGCAGATAATAAATCAGTGAGAAAGGAAGTAAAGAAAGTGTTACCCATGGCTTTACCTATTAGTATGGGTTTAATTGTCTCCCCCTCACAAAAGATACATTGGAATCCTAACCCCCAGTACTTCAGAATTACTTGAGAGTTACAGATGGAATCGAGTTGAAATGAGATCAGTAGGCTGGGCCCTAATCTAATGATAGAATCCTTATATGAAAGGGAAATCTGGACATAGAGACAGAGGTGCATGGAGGGAAAAAAAGGCAGGATGCCCAGGACAGATCCCTCCCCCTCCCTCACAGCCGTCAGAAGGAGCCAACCCTGAGGGCATCCTGATTTCAAACTCTAACTCTAGAACCATGCGACAATACATTTCTGTTGCTTAAGCCACTCGGTGTGTGGTATCTTGTTTTGGTGGCCCCGGGAAACTAATACTATACCGATCCTCAATTTTACATGATTAAAAAGAAACACTTATATCACCCTATTTTTGAGGCTTTAGAAACAGGTATGTGAAATCACTTCTCAGAGATCTGTTACAATTAATTTGTGCTGAAACCAAACCCACAAAACAAGTACAAACACTTACTTCACTTCTGAGGAGCTGCTCTGCTTTGCTTCTATTCGTATTTCTGCAATACCACCTGAACAGAAAAAGAAGAACCCTTAAGGCCTCTGGTGTTTTAAATTATTTTTTATTCTTTTTAGGATTAAGGTAATACTGCCCATCAATAACAAATAAAATTAATAGGAATAAGACATTACTCACAATCTCAATAATATAGGCAACCACTAGTAACATTTGGATATATATACTTTCAGACTTTTTCTACCCACATATTCTTTTAAAGATTTTATTTATTCATTTGACAGAGAAAGACACAGTGAGAGAGGAAACACAAGTGGGGGAGAGGGAGAAGGCTTCCTGCCGAGCAGGGAGCCCAATGCGGGACTCAATCCCAGGACCCTGGGATCATGACCTGAGCCGAAGGCAGATGCTTAAGGACTAAGCCACCCAGGCGCCCCTCTACCCACATTTTTATGATGATATGCACATATGCCAACATTCATATTTTTTATTAAAGTGGGATCAAACTATACCTGCTATATCATAACCAGAATTTTTTTATATAACAGCATATGATGGACATCTTTGCAAAGCAATCTAGTTCTGTGCATCATGGTATGGACATACCATAATTTATTTAAGCTATTCTTCATTATTTAACATAAAAATCATTTCCAAATTTTCACTATTGTAATAATAGTAAGAATGAAGTTTACTCCACAAATTCAAACATGTAGGAAACATCACCCAACTTTCATTATTGTATTTAATTCAAATTAAATCTTACCCCAAGCCCCCATCCCATCAATAGGCTGTAGATTTCACCTCAGGTCATTATGGAGGCTCCCCCATTGAATTTCACAAAGGTGCCAAGTGTCAAAGAAACAGAGCAAAATAGAAGAGTAGGCTTCCTGGGTCTTCTAGACAACCCCTGGAGGTCACCTGAGGCTCTACTGTAGGGATTCCACCATAGCCACGTAGAAGCGCCTGCTCCCCCCACCAGGTCCTGCCACCAGGTCCTGCCACCACGCTGTACAACAAACCCGAGCCCCTGCAGATCAGTGCCCTTCTTAATCCTTGGGAAATCTTTCCCAAGGAAAGATGGAAACTGCCATCTCCCACCTCATCCTCAGAAATACTCCGCCCTCTCCCTGCTTCCCCAGCCCAATCTTTTCATGAGATTGTAAGTTGGCCAAAGAACATGAACTCAAACTGTTTTCTTTGGCCTTCTGTTTTAAACTTTTTGTTGTTGTTTGTTTTGGTCTGTTTGTTCTAGATGCCCTTTAGTGAGCAGAGAACCATCCACCACAGTCATATTTCCTGAGGCTTACAACATTATGAAACCAGACTGGCCCCTCTGGACATTTTAATTTCCTACCACTGGCTCAGTCTTCTATAAAAGAACTGGCACCTACTTTTGACCCAGCAAGCACCCTGAGACAAGCAAACATAAAGGCCTTCTCTGATGGAGGAAGGGAAAAATACAATGACCAAAATACAATAACAAGATCTTTTTTGGGTCTAGATTCTTTTAGGTACTTGTAGCAGCCAAACTACAATCTCAATACAATGACTGCTATTTTATTTGGAGCCTGGGGTGATTAACCAGAATTATGGGCATTAAGATCTCATTGCTGAGGACCCCACTTTATGAACTGAGACCAAGTTTAACAAAAGTGCAGTTGTAATCAATCAATTTCTGAATGAAATAGAGAGATACAATAAATGAGGAGAACAGAATGGATTCTGTCCCTAAGCTTCTCCACTGATAACAAGAAACATTTGTCAGAATGCCAAAAAAGTCATAAAAATTAATTAAGGAAAGGCAACTGGAGCTCTCACGGTGTATTATAAACCAGCAGGACCTGAAAGATTAAGGGAAAAAAATTCTTTTTATAAATAACAAAGACCCAGCCCCTTATCTTCACAGCAGGAGTAAACATTGGAGGTTTAGTCTCACGTTCAGATGTAAGAAATCAGCAAGGCTGCCTCAAGAGGAAATTAACTTAAAGACAGTAAGAGAAAGAGGTTCTTTCCTCATCTAGTATATTCACAGCTCCTGGGAAGGGAAAAAGGAAATAAGAAAGAAAAGGAATCCACGGCACAAAGGGCAGGCAGGCTTTTTGAAATCCTGCCCTAAGCAGTCATTTTTATAGCATTTGCAGATTCCCCAGAAAGGATATTTTCCCTCCCTAGGATGTAAGCTCAGACCTTTAAGAGTATGTTGAAGGAAGGGAAGGAGGAAGGGGTGATGAACAAGCAGATGAATCAATTCGTGGTGAGTACTTCCCAATGGTCCATTGAGGCTTCCCTCCCTCTTCTGTGGTACTTTTCACTAGGCGAGAAAGGAAAGACAGGGGTGCCTGGGCCGCGCTCATTCTGGCAGGAAGAACGCTACACACGGGCGAACGTGAAGGAGCCCCCGTGGTGAGCAGGAGCGCGGGTGCAGATGCCAGCCCCCGGACATCTCTCCTAGCCTGCCACAGACACACCTCTGTGAATAGGAGGTTAGTTAGCTGCCCTGGATGAAGGAACACACTCTACATCTAAAAAGAATGGCCTGGGATTTGCAAGGAACTGGTCAGTCTGTCTTTAGATTATCAAAACCCGATGGGAATGAGGTTTTCAGATTGGCTAGTCATTTCAAAACACTCCAGAGGAGCAGGACTTCATAGTGGTGTCTGAACAGAGAAGAAAAGGAGATTTGGGGATACTCAGGCTTTTCTGGAAAGTTCAGATGCTGGCCAAGCTTCTTGGGGAAGATGGGTGGAGTAAATCACCAAGGGAAGACAACCAGTATAAATGGAGGAAAAACAGAAACCAACCAACCAACCAGCTATAAATCTTTGCTGGTTCTCTAATTTGACCCTTTCCTCCTGAGCCACCCACTTAAAAGCCTTATCCTAGACTTTGCCCCGTTCTAAGGGCCCTTTCATGTCGGTCCCCTCCTTCCTTTAACATCTTTCCATCAAGAACATGTCCTGACCAACATCACGATCCCACTTTCTTTCCGCAGCAGCTCCTTTGACCCTCTCTGCCTCCAAGTGTTACCTGGGTGTGGAGGTCAGAACCAAGTTCTGATAGCCCTGGGAGCCTCAGGCCTGGCAATCCTGAGTCCAGCCCTGTGGAGAGTCTGTTGCCGGGGACTCCTAGGCCCAAACAAACAGCAGGAGAATTCTTGATTCAATAGCTGGCAAAAGGCTTTTTAACCCTGGGGACATTTAAGATGTGTTCCAGCATGGGCTGTAGCAAAGAACAAGACAAATCTTGGCCTGGGAAGACTGGGAGGAGAGGGGGATCTCTGATGGTCTACACAGAGAAGA